TTCCATATGATCCAGCAATTCCACTCCTACGTATTTACCCAAAGGACACAGAAACATCAATTCCAAAGAGCACCTGCACCCCTATGTTTATAGCAGCCAGAAAGAAAAAGAAAAAATACCGGATGGTCTCACTCATAGCAGGAATCTAGAAAACTTAAATAAAGGGACCAGGAAAAAGAATAACCATAAGAAAGAAAATATCAAAATCAACAAACAACTATGAACCAGAGACACTCTATGGGAGGAGGGTGGGGAAAGGAGGGCTTGGGGTCAAAATAAGGGGGTTGTAATTGTATGGGGAATATAAAAATAAAATTTAAATTAAAAAAAAAGAAGATAAAAGTTTTTCTACCCTATGATTTTGACAACCACGAAGGAACAGTCACTGGCTGAGTCAATTAGTTCATATAACTTTGCAACATTGACAAATTGTGCTATCAGGAAATGCATGTTTCTAGAAATAATGGAATATATTCATTAATTTGGCAAGCTAAAGAATATTGGTGTACGAAATAGAGTACATACAGAACACATACCGAAATAAATACATGCCAATTTATTAAACTTCTATTTCAGCTTCTTTTTGAAAGCTCTTTTCTTGGGTAGTCTAAGATTTGTTAGCTGTGGCTCTTCTGACATTCTGCTTGGAGAATAGAGCCTGAATGTAGAATTCCGGTGTTAGATTGGGTAAGAAGACTGGAGAAATGAAAATTCACTATGCATATGGCAACTAATTCACATTTGTTTAACATAGTGTGCCTGCCTTCAACTATGCCTAATGTCCTTTCATTCAAAAACTTTTTGGAAAATTACATCTAGAGTTTAAAATTCCCCTTTAAAAATTTATTTATCTATGTACTGAGTAGAAAGAAGCCATTGCCCAATTATTTGGAATAGGGATAGAGTTTTGAGGGACCAATTCTTTTTTTTTTAAATTAATTTATTTATTTATACAAGCACTGGGTACAGTCAGAAGTGCGGGAGGGTGAGAGAATTCACCAGAGCCAGAGCAGGGAGCAGAGCAGGCAGACAGACGAAGTACACTGCTGAGGGTAGCAGTGGGAGGCAGGAGAGGTCTGCGTGCCATGTGGGACCCTCGCCGGGTGGCCGGGGATCGAACGGGCGCTGCAGAGGCTGCAGGCAGATTCCTTCGCAAACCAGCGCTCAACCGCTGCTCCACCAGGGAGGCCCGAGGGACCAATTCTTAAACAAGTTTTCAACCAATCCTGCTTTGAGCTCCACCTCCAGTCTCATTTCTGGAAGACACTAGTGCTACTAATTCCTGAATCTTTTATAGATTTCATGATACAAATCATATTACTTATCTTTCTCCTTCTAGATTGAGATTCATATTTCTCAAATATATCAGGAAAATTATCATTTACCATCTGCTTTCCAACTTCTAAAACTTGTGCTGCCTTTTCCTTCTCACCTGTTTTCTAGTTGCTTTATACCACTAAGAAAGATCCCTTTTTTTTATTTTTATTGTGGTTGAATATATACTTTCAAACCAATAATTTTGGTCAGAGGTATCTTTTCTAGTGGTCTCTCACCAACAACAATCATATTTACCAAGCAGTATTTTTAATCAACACAAATTGTGTTAGAGCTCTAAGTAGAGTGGAAATGCAGAAGACCTGGAATAAAAGATTAGATTTAAGAAAATAAAATTTATTACAGAGTTTCATCAAACATCTATGAGGAGAGTTAACCTCTTACTGGAATAAGTGTGCTTACAGAATTGGAAAAGTTGTGGCATTCTATTGTTAAGAATAGAGGCAAGCAGATTTAAAGTTTAAAAAATGTGGACTCATTAGTCTTAGATTGCCTATGAATTTAATAGGAACAGATGTCTCATCAAGAAATCTTGAGCAGCTCTGGGAACTGAGGAAGGAGTTAGAACAACTTTGAGTTTTTAGAGGAAAAACATTTGTTTTTGATTTAATGCACTGCTCTCTCTCCAAGCACTTTTAAGTATCTTTAAAGACACCTAGACACATGATAATCTGGTCTCCATGAAATAAGCCATGGTTTAATGAATCCCCTATGAATCCATCTACTTGCTCAGTCATTGAAATAAGTTTCCCCACAGCTTGAGCATGTTTTAGACTGGTCTATTACTTTTTTTCAATAGCCAACATGATTTAAGAATATTGAGAAGTAAGCCAGACAACAGTTGATTTTCCATCTGCCTCTTATTATCTACTGTTTCCCAAACTATTCTCTAGAAAATTGATATCCCAAGATGTTTGTTAGTACTCCATGAATAAAGAAATCACTTTGGTCCTTTACATTTTGTTTTTTTATGTATGTGGGAAAAATAATGAATATATTTTTATAATTGCTTTTCTTATGCCATGATCTGCCTTTACAGAATGGAGCGTCATGCACAAAAATTGCACAAGTAACAAATCACCTGACTTATAAAATATGGCCTCAAATCTCAGTTCTCAATGATAATACATTTGCCAAAATGGAGCCACTGATTATGGATTTATTACCTGTGTTTACATACCTTGTAATAAAAATTTTGAGAAACATTTGTCATACTTTTAAATTTTTTAGACCATATAGTAAATATTTAATCTTCCTCATTTGTTTCATGATTTTTATTGTTTGCTTTGTGACAATTATGAGATTTTTTTCAAGCCTCCAGAAGGCATAAAATCAGGCTACGAAGAGAAACATAGCTTTAATTACAAAAAGATACATGATGTAGAGCTACAGTGCATTTGAGACATCAAGTCATAAGGGTCAAGAGAAGGAAGAAGTTCAGTGAATTGATGTAGTTGGGAAAAGTATTGATGGGGAAAGATGGTTTGAAATGTGGCTTGAAAGATGGAAAATATGTTGAGAGAATATATTCCATGGGTCTCTCATGCTTTTATGTGTCTTAATATTGGGCCGAGAATGCAATACCATAACTGCTTTTAACCCAAGGCATTTCTCAGAGATGTATTTGCAGCAAGCAACCTTGACAGGTAAAATGATCTTCTTGGACAAAGCATAAGCTTGATTACTATTGCCTATAAAATGGTGGTGATGATGTTTGTGTTCTCTCCAACAATGCAACCCACCCTGTAAGTAGATATCCTGTAGGATTAGAGGGTAAAGGGAACCAGAGCAAACATGCTGCTCTTGCTGTTTACTCTGCTGTGATTAATACAGTTTTGTCATTGGTCCAGAAATTTCCTCTCTTCTGACAGCTTCTAAGACACAGTGACAGGTTAACTATTCAAGTCTAAGTAGGGGGCCTCTCTGGTGGTGCAAGGGGTTATAGCACAGCACTGTGAGGTTGTCTGTAGTCTCTGCAGCACGAGTTTGATCCCCGGCTGGCCAGGGAGCTACCCACATGAGGCAGCCGACTTCTGTCTCGCCCGCTGCTCCCCTCAGCAGCTCCCCTCAGACAGTCTGCCTGTTCTGTTCTCCACTTTGTCTCTGGTGACTCCTCTCACCTCCCCCCACCCCGACACCTCTGGGCTGTACCCCAGTTCTTGTATGCATAAATTAATAAATCTTCAAAAAAAATTTAAGTGTAAGTAGGGCAAAACCAAATCCCAAAAAAGACAGTGGGATAATAACAGAAAAGAGAATCAGTTGATAGAAAACTTGTGACTGAGACTTTCATGCCATTTAATTGGTATGGCAGAGAGGCTACAAATTTTTATTAAATTAGAAATTATATATTGGATAATACTGAAAAGTAAGGCTATAGAGGATGGAATGGGGAGCAGGTAGAGGTTAAGGACTTTGAGTGACAGTGCTATGGACTAATATTTGTCTCCCCTCCAATTCTTAATGTTGAAATCTAATCCCAATGTGATATTTGGGGATGGGGCCTTTAGGAAGTGATTAGGGCATGAGGCCAGAGCCCTCATAAATGGGAATCGTGCCTTGTAAAAGAGGCTCCAAGGAGATCTCTCACCCCTGCCACCTTCTGTAATTACAATGAAAAGACAACCATCTAGGAAGCAGGGCCTTGGCAGTCATCACCCTGATGACTTGACCTTGGACTTCCCAGCCTCCAAAGTGGTAAGAAATAAATTTCTGCTGTTTATAAACCACCCAGTCTATGGGATTTTATTATTGTTTAGTTCCCTGAAGGGACTAAGAGAGACAGGCAAGAGGTGTTAAGTTATACCTGGTAATTCAGCCAAGTACCATGATAAGCATGAGGTATATCATATTTTCAAAAATTAAAAAAAACTGCTATAAACTTAGGGGATGAATAAGAATCACAATCTAATATCCCCCGAGATCCTCAAATTATCAAGCAACAGATTTTTTTTCTACAGAAATCGTCATTCTCATTAAATTAATTGCATCCTTTCCATCAACAAATTGCATAATGACTAACTTCCTAAGCTACCTTGAATATCTCTACTTTTTCCATTTTCATCACCATCAACCCAGTTCAAGCTTCACTCTTTCCTATTTCCACTGCAGTGGCCTCCTGGTTAGTCTCTCCATTATGCTTTGGTTTTCTCTCTTCCCCCACCATCCCTTCCCCACAGGAAAAGCAGATCAATCTTCCTAAAATGGTCAAGGATGAAAACCAATATCTCTTGTATGACCATTTGTCTCTTGCTCCGTTTCCAGTCACCTTTAAAGCTTCCCACTTACATACTGTCACACATGCTCTCCCTAAAAAATGCCTACTCTACAGTTATCAGCTTTTCTCAGACTTCCCTAACCTCCTCCTACTATAATGTGAATCAGGTCACAATTTCTATTTCTATATTTATTTGTACAGCATGGGTTTTATCTGATGTCCCCATGTGATGCTGTGTCATGACTACATGGGAATTCATGAGTATCCTTTCTCTTTGGGGAAATATTTGAAATTTACTGTAATAAACAGGTTTAAATTTTCCCTTGATCCTACAAGCTAAAAATAATAGGTTTTGCCTATAATTATCTTAAACTAGTTTTTCAATTTTTTAAAAATTTTCACGATTAATTTTCCTATTTTTGATTAGTAACCACTTTGGAGCCACAAAATGCCTGGTAAAATTCTAAATTTTTATTTCAAATATAAAATTATGTTTCCACAGTTTGGAAGCCTTTGAAAAAAAAAGCAGTCATCAACAAAACAGAATGTTTTTGTAATGAAACACAAAAGAACTTTTTCCCCATCCATTCATAAGTTAATACATTGTTGTCTTAAGGTCATACATTGTTGTACCTCTACAATGTTAAAAGTAGAAACCTCTGCATTTCCTTCAGAAAAGCTGTCACCCTTCTCTCTTATGTTAACATGTTTGTGCAACGTGCTATAGTATGGCTCCTCTGAATTGAAAGTATAGAGTGATGAAATCTGCTGCCAGTCTTCAGCACTTGGACTGTTGTGATCTGGACATGAGCCTTCAAAGAAACATTTAACATTCTTATTTGCCAATTCAGTTGCATTGTCTCTGGATTCTTTTGTAAGGATCTTCTGTTCCTGCTTCTCATAGATTTTCTTAAATTCCAGCTGCATAAAACTAACTGGAGATAGGCAATAGGTAAAACATTTAACAATCATAAGAATGAGGATAACCACAGCTATGAGGATCCAGCCAGCCACCTTAGGAAAACAAAACAGAAGAGCAGTTTAGTTATATCTATATCTATATAAAGTTTGAGTTAGTCCCCAGCTAATTATGTCTTAATCCCTTAAGAAAAAGGAGTGGCATGACCTCCAGAACCCCTTTATTTGTACAGCTGTTTGCTAGATGAATCAATTCTATTCCAAGACATTGCAAAATCCCAGGCAGACCTGGAACTCCAAATATTCAATTTTGGCAAATCCAGTGAAACAAGCATCGTGCTTCAAAATCCCACAAGCAGTGAGGGACGGTGGCTTTACATGCAGACCCACTTTATTGTAACAATTCTGTCTTCTTCTGGCTGCCCCATGTATTGTCTCTAAAGGGTGGCTGTGAGAAGATACAGGAGGCAAAGTGTAGGGCTACCCACTCTCCCCACCCCCAGCTCTGTCCCTTGGAAGAGGTAATCTACAACACTTTGAAACTGACAGAAACCATCTAGGGCCCTTCAGGCCAGTTAGAGAACAAAGAAGCCGTCCAGAGCGAAAATGTCAACAGCTAACTTGACCAGTTGTTGCATCCCCTGCACCAGAAGCCCCTTATGCCTTTACATACTCTTTCAAATGGCAGCAGAGGAGAAGGCTTTCTAAGAACACCTTGCTCTGCTGTGCTCCCAGCGACCCGAATAAAACTTCTTTTGCAAAAACACCCAGTGGTTCAGTCTTTGGCTTTCTGATCCCCTAGCCACTATCAGTTCAGGTCGGTAAAAAAAGGACTTAACGGGCTCTCTGGCACAGCCTCACTACACAGGTACCTTTCCTCCTTTTCCTTCATTTCATTTAAATGTTTCCTTTCGACTCAGTAGAAGCAAGTAACTGTCCAAGTTTGTCTTCAGGTGTCTTAACCTGGAGAAAAGGCACCGATTCTGCCTCACAGGTCAGCCTCGCACCCCATTTCCTGAAGCCCGTCCCCTCCACTCCTCTGGCCCACTCCAGCGCCAGCTTCTGACCTGTGATTGGGACCTGAGCTCCCTCAGGAGGTCCTGCAGGTCTGGCTCTCGGTCCTGCAGACAGGGCAACTTGGGCATCAATGTGGCGCAGTTGTCTTTGCGGCCGACGCACATGATCCCCACTATGAAGGAGCTACCGCTGGCAAAGCACTCGTAGAAAGTGCCCCAGAGCAGCCCCACAGCCACCCAGGTGAGGGGGGCAACCAAGGCGCTGATGCAGATCGACCTGATCTCCACAAAGCATTGGTACCCACAGGTAAACGACTGGTTGCCTCTCCCCTTGCAGCAGCAGCAGCAGCACCAGCAGCCGGTTACCAGGCGCCAGGTGCGTGTGTTCAGCACGAAGCCCAGGAGGAAAAGGGCCAGCGCCGGCATCAGCAGGAAGATCAAGCCAAAGGGCAGGTTCCAGGTGGTGTTGCAGGGGCACTGGAATATTGCAGTGGAGAATATGCTCTCTCCGCCTGCAGTCAGCAGGCTCACCAAGCCATATTCCAGCTTGCTGCGGTGCTTGAGTAATGTGGAAAACTTCTCCAGGATGATCTTAACCAAGTCAGACCTGGTTGCCATTTCAAGTCAGACCTGGGTGCTTCTGCCTCTTTGCTGCTTCAGCAGTGGTTTGGGTGGGCCGGGGGCTGGGATTTCCTGTTCTTAGCAAAAACAACTTTCTGAAAGAGAAGAGGGCTTCACAAGGTTTCGATTTCTTTTTGCAACCAAATCAGCTCTGGCAGACAAACAATCAAGCATACATGCTTGACTTCCCCAGTAGCCACCCATTTTTACAAGAAGATGCCACAGATGACCTTGACTTACACGGCAGGGAGAGGGGCACACCAGAACCCCCAAACCCGTCTATCCTAAAATAGGTTCTGCAGTCCACTGCATCAAGACAACACATATAGATCTTTAATGGAAAGGAATTTTAATACAATTAGTGTGCAATACAGAAAAGACAAAGAAGGTAGTTTCCAAATCAAGCAACCAAAGTCACCCATTCCCTTGTGGGTAAATGTCCCACCAAATAGATTTGGTCCAAAGCAAGACCGACAGTTGTGTACAAGTCTAAAGCACTTTCTGGCAGGGACGCATAGAAAAGGGTCAGAAACTACGTAGTCAGACAAGTCTAAGAGGAAAAGAACAAAATCAAAATCAAGATAAAAGCTGCCAGTGTTAACCTCCCCATGGGTCTCTCACCCATGTCTCTTTCATCCAATCCAGAACCAAAAAGCAAGTACATTTTTTTCACCTGTCTCTCTGCTCCTTACGCTTTCTTCAGGTCACCTTCTGGCTCTCCATCTGCTTCCCATTCAGTCTCCTGTCCAGCTTCTTCTCCTCTCTACTCAGTTCCACCCTCCTTTGGGTGGGGCAGGGAACCTAGAACCTCCCCTTGTCCTGGGGACCCCTCTGTTACACTTGCACTCTGGATTTAGGAATTCAGACCTTCCTCCATTGTTTCATTTGTGTCCACCAAACTGCAAACTGGGGTCTTTCCTACTGTTCCTGACCCAGTGCACCAATCCAATGGAAACAATACTTTTCACTGTGCAAGCTGGAAACGCCAGTTTCCTCTATTGCAGGAAATGATCAATGACAAACTTTGTTTTTTGTTCATAAGCTAAATAATATCACTTCTGCCTTTTGCTGCTCAGGTATGTTATAACACTGTTAGTACCTGGAGGAGAGTTAAATTCTTACCCAGTGACTAGTAAGTTATTGGGGGTTGGGGGGAATACATGATCGTTCACTTACTGAATCAAGAAAAATTAATGGCAGCTACATCTGGCTAACGTAAACTGAAACTTACTCTGTGGTTCCATGCACTTGAAAGAACAAAGGCTTTGGCATCAGGTGCATTGTGCCTGTGTGCATGTGTCTCTGTGTGTTTCACAAGATACTCCTCAAAGACTTGGGACAAAATTGCATGTCTGAGGCCAGTCATTTCTGTGACTATCATCGCTATGATCCTACATCTCAAAAAACAAACAAACAAACAAACCCAAAACTTTCGTTCCCTGTCCTTCAGAAGACTCTTCCTCTTACTGGTGGGTCCTTCTTCACACCATCCCATTCCTCTATACCATTGCCTCCCCTCCACACTGTCCATATACCATCACAAACCAATCCCACTGTATCTACAACCTTTGTGCAGACAGCTTTATTCAAATCTCCTTTAACTGAAGCCTCCTGATGAATTTTTAGTCTCCCTAGTTCTCAAAACAGGAGGGAGGACTGGCATCTCCCCAACACTCATTCAAACTAGCTTTTCCACCACCCTCTAATACTTCATCCTCCAGTAAGGCTCAAGCTATTGACCATCACTTCCTCCCCGACTCTACTCCTGCCATTTGTGTTCATGCTCTTCATTTATTAAAACACTTGCATCTGGTGACTGCCTTCTCATCAGCCCTGTTATTGATTTTAGTTAAGGGTTTGGTTTCAAATTTTTTAATTATAGATACTATTACCTTGTCAATTGCCTCCCTCAATTAGAATAATTCATTTTTTAATCTATTAGTCTGTTTATTCATTCATTTTAATGTTTAATAAGCACTTAGAATATGCTAGGTCTTGGGCCTCCCTGATGGCGCAGGCGGTTGAGGGCCGCGCTGTGAAGCTGTCCACAGCCTGTGCAGCGCCGGTTTGATCCGGCTGGCCGGCGAGGGTCCCGGATGGTGCGGCAGGCCTCTCTTGTCTCACCCGCTGCTCCCCTCAGCAGTGTATTTCGTCAGTCTGCCTGTTCTGTTCCCCACTCTGTCTCTCGTGGATCCTCTCACCCTCCGCCACATCTGGCCTGTACCCCAGTTCTTGTATAAACAAATCTTAAAAAAAAAAGAATATGCTAGGACCTGATATTGGATACCACAAGGAACCACACAGACGTCCCACTCTCACTGAGTTTAGATTGTAGTGGAGAGGGTACAGATAATGAGGCCAAAGCTCTGAAGCTTCTGCAGATAACTAAAATGGAATCATATGGTAGAGAGTGTTCTGAAAACGTCTCCATGAACAGATGATATTTAAGCCAACATCTGAATGACAAAGACTCTGGGGTGCCAAGGAAGTTGGTATTCTGTCACTGGAAAGAAAACTAGTGACGGAAGAATTGAGGGTGAGAAGGAAGATGGGAGGCACAGCATGAGCACAGAGCTGCAGGTGAAGATTAGCTTTAGGGACTTTGTAGACCAGGCTATGTAGTTTACAGTCCTAACCCTGAAGCTCGTTAGAGACTGAGTTCTATCCTGATCTATTTTCCTATCAACTTATATCTCCAAACAAGACATCTTGGATTTGCTACCATGTGCTCCTCAGTCATGGATCTCCCTGAAATGGATCATTATTCTGTACTTACTACCAGTTTTTCCATAACTGTGAGAGTTTGAGTTCTGCCTGCCAGCATGGATTTTCTCCTAGAACCTTCAGCTGAGTCTAATACCTTGCCATCCACATCCATCATGTCTGGAGCCATTCTGGAGATTGCCCAGTCCTTTATAGCCACTCCTTTCTGAAAAGACATTACTCAAAACTTCAGCCTTTAGTGGAAATAGAATAATGCACTATTGGTATCAATAGAATTTGAGAATTTTATCTGAGAGTAGACTAGACAGCCTTTGAAAGATCTTTACACTTTTGGAAATCTATAATTTTACACCAATTTACTACTTTAGCTTCCAAGTAATGAGTTCAATGTTAAGCACATTGAAGAAATAATGATTATGGTTTTTTTCTAATTTTAGTACTAGGTTTCTGCTTATAACCATCATCAGCTCCAGATATGGGTCTCAGAAACCACAAACATTTCCTGCAAAAACAGGAAGAATTCTTGAAGGAAATAGATATTCACACTGTGAATCTGAAAGTTCTCACAGTCAAATCAAATGAAATATTGAGTTCTCTAACATTCTCTGTAAACTTCATGAGAATTCAAACTAATTCAAATATGACACTGCTTGGAATACTATGTCTAGATTTTAGCAAAGAAAAAAAGAAAAAAAAATAGATTCTAGCAAAGTACCTATCCTAGCCCCAACACCCATCTATGAGAGAAAAATCAAATTAAGATTCATATGTCTTTTAAGTATCTACCATGTGTAACACACAATTTTAGATAACAAAATTAACAAGTAAACTTAGAAAAAGACAGGTTAAAATATATATATATAGGCATTATATATATTATACATATAATGCCTATATATAATGCCTATATAATATATGCAGACATTATATATATAATATATATAGAGAGAGACAGAGAGAGAGAGAGGCATTACAGCCTAGTGCCCAGGTATTCAGTAAATATTTGTGGCAATAATGAGTAAATCAATCTATCAGTGAATGAATGAATGAGAATATATACATGTGTGCATGTGCATGTGTATGTGTGTGTGTGTATATATCTATATATATACACACATACCCCTTGTAGATTCATGTAACATACTTTAAGATCCAAAAATATTGTCAAATATTTACTTCTGAGAAGTGGGAGACCTGGTTGGAAATGAATGCAGGGAGAGATCTGATGTGTGTCTTTCCTTAGGATTTGATTTTTTAAAACATGCAGATGTTACTTTTTTAAGATTTATTTATTTATGCATACAAGGACTGGGACACAGGCCAGAGATGGGCCGGGGGGCCATGAGAAGATCCACCAGATACAGAATGGGGAACAGAACAGGCAGACTGACTGAAACACACTGAAGGGAGCAGTGGGCGAGACAGGAGAGGTCTGCCTCACCATGTGGGTTTCTCCCTGCCAGCCGGGGATCGAACTCAAGCTGCAGAGGCTGGGGATTGCTTCATAGTGTGGTGCTTAACCCCTTGCACTACTAGGGAGGCCCTGCATATGTTACTTTTAAAATTAAAAATACATACACAAAATGTCTTGAGTTAATGGAGAGGCTCTAAGAAACTAGTCAGGAAAGAGGTTTTTCACAATCTCTTCTTTCTTTTTCCTGCTTTACACATATATTAATGACTACTTATATCAAGGACAACTCCCTGAAACTGGAATGCACACTTTGTATTGCCAGAAGTAATAAATCATAGTGAGAAACTGATTGTGACTGAAGAATACAGAACAACTTAGTACAAACCAAAGATGAGAAAAAGCAGTAAAATAAGAAAAGGCAAGGTTGAAAGGTAGTGTGGGTGGGTTTATCCATGCCTGGAGGGAAACAAAATGGAAAGATCCACCTGCCTGCTTTGGATAGACTGGCTGTGTTCTATCACATCTTCTGTGTGCCCACTTTTGGGCCATAGAAACAAGGCAGAGGAGAAAGGTTGATGGAGAAAAAAGGAAGTGGGTGGGTAGCTGGCTAGGGGAGCCCCTGAAAAAGGATCACAGGGAATGTAGCTTCTGGCAACTTAGGAATCACCACCACTGCTTTCAATGTATCCAGGCAGGTTTTTCTTCAATTTGGGCTTAAGTATTTCAGTCTTGCTTCATTAAAAAACATCTGTTTTGGGGACAAAATCTACAAAAGCAATAGGTTTTGGTGAGTTAAGTCACTGTTTAAAAGAGATTGAGCAGAACTTCTGACTATGAGCAGCAGGGAGTTAGGGAAAAGGAAACAACTAGTTCCTGTTAGAATTCCAATTTATTCTAGGACTGCTTTCCTGGGGTCTGTGGTGATAAAGTTGCAAGAACAGTAAAAACAAGTAAAGGGAATGACATTCAGTTCAGCGATAGATAAAGCTAAACTTCAGTTTTTGGGGATGTATACATATATGAGTAAACCATAAAGAAAAATAAAAGATGATTATGAATCACAAAGACAGTGGTTATTGTCTTTTGGAGCTTACTTGAGGTTATGACTGTGATAGGGAAGGAAGGTGGACTGTTCACAGTATGTACCAGGATATTTCTATACTATGGTGAATATTACAGAAGTATTTGCTTTATTATGCTATATATAGCATATTTATTTAGTTGTTTTCTGAACAGGGATTGTATTTTTAACTTAATATGGCAAGAAAGGAAATACAATTACATTACTTTCCTGTTGAAGCCCCCCAATGTTCTCAGCTGTTAAGAGAACAAGTTCAATTCTCCCTACGTTGGCAGCAAAGTTCTTCCCAGTCTTGCTCCAGTCATCTCTGCCCCACTCCAGCCTATGCACCCCAGTTTCTAATTGAACTGACTTCCCTACATTCCCTGTACTTTTATAACATGGTCCTCCTCACTTCTATGTCTTCTCACTTGCTCTTATTGGCTGCCTTGACTCATCCATTGGGGATATGATGGGAAATTAAGATTACCTGTATGAAAAAGGTAAGGCTGATGAAACTATCAGATGCCAAAAGGTTTCTGTAGAAAAACAGAGGAATATAGTCAGAGAGGTAAGTTCCAAGCCAAAAGAACATTTCTCTATTGTTTACCTGGCAAATAACTGCACTCTTCTAGTAATCATTCCAGTGTTATCTCTTTATTGAAGTCATCTTCAAACACTGCAAGAAGAGTTAATGGTTCTCTTCCTTTGCTCCCACACCATTAAAAAAACAAACAAAACACTGCTTTATTTTTAATGTGCTTATTGCAACATCTTTTCCAGAATTCTCTCTTCTAACCTGGGAGCTCCCAAAGGGCCAGGATTTCTTATTCATCATTGTATCTACCCCTCAATAGAACCAGTAATTTCTGTCTACAACTCTCTTCTCACCCCTGAAATAGCCCTTATCACATTGCGTGTTAGCTTTATCTCATTATAAAGCTGTCTCAACCATGTCATACAATCTTTGTGAGAATTAAAGTGGTAGTGTAAAGAACACAGCACAGTATTAAGAACATTTATTTTCACAGCTTTTATAACGATTTTTAACAGACTCAGAAATGTGCTAGAGGGCGCTAATTCACCGCCAAAAAAGCCATTATGCTCCATGGGACATTAACACTTGATTTATTCAGATGCTAAATAAGCATCTGATGTTTGGGAAGAAAATGTGAGTCATCTTTATTCAATGAAATAAATCAATGTAATTCCAGTATTTAAGTCTATTATAACTTACTTGAAATTACTTTGGAGAGCAATCCAGCAGCCAGGATGAAGTTATCATACATTTGCGTTATATCCTTGTTTATTCCCCATACCAGGTTGGTCCAAGTAGCAGTGGGAAAGTAAAAAGCAGGCATTATTGATTTTGGTAATGACACCTCCCTCACAAAGTGTTTTCTCAACTGTAAAACAGGACGTTTGGATGAGCTCATTCAACTTCAGGATTCTTTTCAACTCTAGCATTCTGTAATACACCAAGCTAGCTTATTAAAAAAAACAGGCATGGTCTTCAAAAATATTAACATTCAACCAAGTAACAAAATTAAATCAAAATTGACAAACTTATTTTTAATTTGCCAGAAAAACAAACAAATGCAGTTTCATGTTTTTCCTTCCACATAAATCTATTAAAACAAGGAAATGACAAATGAGTGACTGTCTCAAAAATGTATTGATTGTGAAATGTTTCCTACCCACTTCTATATCTCCACATCTGCCAGTAATTACGTCAGTCAAATCTTTGTCTTCCTTTGGAGAGGGTGATAAAGTAGGTTTATTATGTATGAAGTATTAGTTGGTCAGTTGAAGTCATTATAGATTTACAATGCTCCATTTATTTCAATCACCCAAGAGACCACAAACATTTATATCGAAGGACGAAGTCAGGGGGACAATACTAAATAAAGGGTTTAAGAGATTACTAAATAATTTGTTTTTGTATTTATGAAGCTCTTCTACTTTGAAAGAGTCAAAATGACTCACAGTTTGGGTACAAGATGAGACCAGAAACAGAAACAGAAAAAGAAATCTGCTCTTGCACTGACGCCATCACCAGCACTCTCAGCAGACCATGCTGTAGGTCCTAAGCAAACAAATCATCCTGGTCATTTCAAAACATGGGAAGTCCTATAACTATCTTATTGACAAAAATCTACTTTGAGAAAAAAAAAATTAGTTTCACAAGATTAAGGTAAAAAGTTGTGGTGAGAATTTAATATTTTTCATGTAACCAAGTTCCGAGTTCAATAGTTTAAATGATTAGATGTGGCATTTTGTTGTTGTTGTTGTTTTTAAAGATTTATTTTATTTATTTATGGAAACAAGAGCTGGGTTGTAGGCCAGAGGTTGGGGGAGGGGGTGAGAGGATTCATCAGAGACAGAGTGGGGAGCAGAACAGGTAGACTGACTGAAATACACTGCTAAGGGGAGAAGCAGGCAAGACAGGAGAGGTCTGCTGCACCATGTGGGTAGCTCCCTGGCTGGGGCTCGTGCTGCAGTGGCTGCAGATAGCTTCATATTGCTGAGACTTAACCCCTTGTGCCACAAGAGAGGCCCCTCCATATAGCAATTTGAACATTCCAAATAATGAGAAATCAAATATTAAAATATCATTTTATTTTAAGCTTCATGCAGATGCCCATACAATTGCTGTCTGTATGTCTCTGGTTGTTTTTCTTAACCTCTTTGTGTCTAGCTTCCAATTATGCAAGACAAAAGTGTAATCAGTATCTTCCTTAGAGAATGTGGTGGTCGAGTATACACATGGACTCTGTAGTTGCCATTATTAGCATTGCTATTCAGTATGTGTTTATGTAATAATGGCACAAACATGAACTGGGAAATGTTTTCATGAATTTTAACACATTTTATAAAATAAACCTAGCAAGTGGGTTCTTTCTATCCTATTTTAAGAACAAAATTTATTTTACAGAATTATCAAATACTCTTTCATTCCCTACTTCTTCCTCTGGCATCCAATTTATTATCATTTAATAAAAAATGACCTCAGCAGTAAATGCAAAAATTTCCTCTTATCATTTATAACACTTTAAAAACATCCACAGAGAATCCACATACCAGGCAATACAGAAACTCTGTTTAGAAGTAGAGAAAAACATGCAGTAACTATACGAGATACTCCCCTTGACAATCTTATCCAGGAAGTCCTGCAACCTTGAGTTGCCACGGTGTGACTCTGCACACGTATAGGTGTGGCTGCAAAGCCAGCTGAATAACCAACCCTCTCAATCATGCTGCCTGCCCACATCCCCCTCCCCTCACCACATTGTACTGTGTTCTCTAGGAAGTCAGCTGTGCTGGCATGCCTTGCTTTCTGAATTACACAATATCATGAACTCAAGAGAGATT